CATATAGAAAAAGAGAGAAATTATAACGATATGTACATGTAAACAATGATCATAATGATGATGATGATGATGATGATCTTGATAGTAATTAATGGTGATGATGTTGATGATCATGATCATGATCAGACCATGATGATGATCATGATCATGATGATATTGATGATGATCATGAGCGTGATCCTGACATCTGATTGAAAAAATGAGGGGGACAGTTAGATAGCATAAAGTCTCAGCTACAACATACTAAAAAATCAACAAAAACCGAGCTGAAATAACGGCGATTATTATTGCTCGCAAAAGACAGGAATTTAGAATCCAGATTTCAGACCATGATGATGATCATCATCATCATTATGATCATGATGATCATGATGATGATCATGAGCGTGATTCTGACATCTGATTGAAAAAATGAGGGGACATTTAGATAGCATATAGTCTCATGCAGCTATATATGTACTCCAAAATCAACAAAAACCAGGCGGAAATAACGGCGATATTGCTCGCAAAAGACAGGAATGTAGAATCCAGATTTGAGAAAAAGTCATCTCCCATGGGGATTACAGGCGAAAAGTAATGGATCAAGTGATAATAGGGTAATAATAAAGTAAATATGGTTGTTTATTACATTATTTGCGATTCTACGTGTAGTTATGTGATATTTGCTATGTATATCCATCAGAAACTTGTCTGTACGAAACAGTGAAATACTGCCCTCTCCGGCAGAATAAAGTAAGCTTAGCAACGAGCATAATGGCGTATACTTCTAGCAGTATTACTTTCGTATTTATGGACATATAATATACGACACTACGTGTTTTAAAATTCAAAGGAGATTGCACAGTGAAAGGTCAAAATGAAAAAAAAGTGAAGAAAAATATTGGTAAAGACGCCCGAACTCGAACCAGGGGTCTCAAGGTCGGAAGTCAAGTGCGTTACCGATATACCAAAACATTTCCCATAGCGATTACACGTAAACGGAAAATGGAATTCGCAAATCCAACTTTGCAAGTGAAATATGAGCATGATCCCGGCATCTGATCGAAAACTAAAGGTCACACTTATGATAGCTTATTGTCTCAGCTACAACATACTCAAAGCTCAGCATAAACAAAGATAAAACGACGGAGATATTGCTCGCGAAAGACGACAATGTAGAATCCAGTTTTGAGAAAAAGTCATGTCCCATGGAGAATACACGCAAAATGTGAAAAATTGACATGCCTCCTTTAATCGCAAAAATACGCCATGATGCCTTTGTCAAAATGAAATATCGTGGATACTGCATTTGTAGAGAATATTCTCAGGTAGAACATATCAAAATTCGAAAGAAAATTAATCAATATTTACAGAGATAAAATCAATTTTTCGTAATTATGCTTACGTCATAATATGCAAATTTAAATTTTGAGTTCGGAGGCCATTATGATGACGTCATGAGTTAATTGAGGGTCAAATGTGACATGAAATCATATCTCCAATTCATATTCTATCAAAATATGAAAAAGAAATTGGGTTCACTTTGCATCCTAAAGCGCTACAATGGATTTTGTATAGGCATGTTTTTGCCCCTGTATGCTATGTATTACAAGAGCTCGCACGCACGGACATTATTTTAAACGGACGCTCATTCCGTTATTACTGGGCAGAAAAAGGTGAACAAGGTATCAAAATGCTTGGAAAAATGTGCCAAATATGATGACAGAGAAAATTTGGCGATTTTATGTTGAAAAATACCAGTACGCGCGAAAACGCGCGCGCATGCTCGTGTGCGCGTTTTTTTTAGAAACGCTTAAAATGGCCTGAAACGTATGCAAAAATAATTTGAGACGATTTGGAGCATTTTTTTTTTGCGCGCGCGCTGACGGGCGGACGTACGCATGCGCGCGCGTTTTTTGACCTGAAATTGACCGGACGGATATTGACCTTAATCATGATAAATATGAATGACAAATGCCTTTCCGTTATGAAGATATGATCATGAGTAAAAAGTACCAAAAAAAACACAAAATGGCGCCTGGATGACGTCATGAAGACTTGATGACCTTGAAAATGTTGCTGTCACGTCTCATGACAATGACCTATGACCGTCCCAAAATTGAAAGAAATTGACTAAACCGATCTTGAGTTATCCTTTACACAAAAAAGTGGGGAGAAATAAATAAAAATAAAGAATAATAATAATAAAGAAAGAAAATTCTGACGAAAACAATAGGTGATCTGTCATTGACAGACCACCTAATAATAAATAATAAAGAAAATTCTGACGAAAACAATAGGTGATCTGTTTTCAACAGACCACCTAAATAATAATAAAGAAAGAAAATTCTGACGAAAACAATAGGTGATCTGTCGTTGACAGACCACCTAATAATAATAATAACTAGAAATTTAATTCGTCATGGGGACGAATTAGGTGGTCTGTCTTCAATTTTCATGATCATTGACACGTCAAAAAGTAAAAAAAATGATGAAAAAAAATTGTTGGAGACGCCCGGACTCGATCCAGGGACCTCGAGGTCGGAAGTCAAGTGCGTTACCGATATACCGAAATATTTCCCATAGAGATTACACGGAAACGGAAAATACAATTCTCAAATCCCACTTTGTAAGTGAAATATGAGCATGATACCGGCATCTGATCGAAAAAATAAAGGGCACACTGGTGATAGCTTATTGTCTCAGCTACAACATACTTAAAGCTCAGCGTAAACAAAAATAAAACGACGGAGATATTGCTCGCGAAAGACGAAAATGTAGAATCCAGTTTTGAGAAAAAGTCAATTCCCTTAGGGAATACACGCAAAATGTGAAAAATTGACATGCCTCCTTTAATCGCAAAAATACGCCATGATGCCTTTGTCAAAATGAAATATCGTGGTGACTGCATTTGTAGAGAATATTCTAAGGTAGAACATATCAAAATTTGAAAGAAAATTGATCAACATTTGCAGAGATACAATCAATTTTCCAAAAATCTGCTGACGTCATAATATGAAAATTGAAATTTTGAGTTCGGAGGCCATTATGATGACGTCATGAGTTAATTGAGGGTCAAATGAAACATGAAATCATATCTCCCATTCATACTCTATCAAAATATGAAAAAAAACTTGGGGTCACCTTGCATCCTAAAGAGCTACAATGGATTTTGTACAGGCATGTTTTTGCCCATGTATGCTATGTATTACAAAAGCTCGCGCGCACGGTAATTATCTTAAACGGACGCTCATTCCGTTATTAATGGGCAGAAAAAGTTGAACAAGGTATCAAAATGCTTGGGAAAATGTGCCAAATATGATGACAGAAAAAATTTGGCGATTCTATTTCGGAAGATGCAATTACGCGCGAAAACGCGCGCGCATGTGCGTGCGCGCGTTTTTTTGCAAAATGCTTAAAATGGCCTGAAACGTATGCAAAATGAATTTAGGACGATTTTGAGCATTTTTATTTTTTGCGTGCGCGCTGACGCGCGGACGTACGCATGCGCGTGCGTTTTCTGACTTGAAATTGACCGGACGGATATTGACCTTAATCATGATAAATATGAATGACAAATGCCTTTTCGTTATGAAGATATGATCATGAGTAAAAAGTACCAAAAAAAACACAAAATGGCGCCTGGATGACGTCATGAAGACTTGATGACCTTGAAAATGTTACACTGACGTCTCATGACAATGACCTATGACTGTGCCAAAATTGAACGAAATTGATTAAACCTATCTTGAGTTATCCTGTTCACAAAAAAGTGGGAACAATAAATAAAAACTAGATTTGTAATACTTGTTTGGAACAAGTATAGGTGGGCTGATCCAACAAAAAATTGAGACAAAATAAAGGGTACATTTAAGATAGCTTTTTGTCTCAGCTACAACATACTCGAAGTTCAGCGTAAATGAAGCTAAAACGACGTAGATATTGCTCGCGAAAGACGGGAATGTAGAATCGAGTTTTGAGAAAAAATCATGTCCCATAGAGAATACACGCAAAATGTGAAAATTGACATGCCTCCTTTAATCACAAAAATACGCCATGATGCTTTTGTCAAAATTAACAATTGTTATGATCTCATTTGTAGAAAATTGTCTCAGCTAGAACATTTCAAAATTTAGAAGAAAATCAATCACCATTTACAGAGATACAATCAATTTTCCATAAATATGCTGACGTCATAATATGCAAATTGAAATTTTGAGTTCGGAGGCCATTATAATGACGTCATGAGTTAATTGAAGGTCAAATGTGACATGAAACAATATCTCCGAATCATACTCTATCAAAATATGAAAACAAATTGGGGTCACCTTGCATCCTAAAGAGCTACAATGGATTTTGTATAGGCATGTTTTTGCCCATATATGCTATGTATTACAAGAGCTCGCGCGCACCGAGATTTATGTTAAACGGTCGATCATTCCGTTATTAATAGTCATAAAGAGACAAACATGGTATCAATTTGTTTTTAAATATATGTGGAATATTATAAAAGAAAAAAAATGGTGATTCTATGTTATGTAATAGTTTTACGCGCGAAAACGCGCGCGCATGGGCGTGTGCGCGATTTTTTATAAAATGCTTAGAATGGCCTAAAACGTATGCAAAATGATTTTGAGACGATTTTGAGCATTTTAAAATTTTGCGCGCGCATTGACGCGCGGACGTACGCGCACGCGCGCATTATTTGAGCTGAAATTAACCGGACGGATATTGACCTTAATCATGATAAATATGAATGAGAATTACTTTTTGGTTATGAAGATATGATCATGAGTTGATTTTCGTAAAATTTTACAAAATGGCGCCTAGATGACGTCATCAGTGAAGGTCAATGTTGAAAACGTTATTGTGCTTCGTACATATGCCTATACATATGTGTGCCAAATTTCAAGGCATTTGATTGAGCCATTTTCGTGTTATTTTGTTCACAAAAAAGTGGTTAGAAATAAGAAAAATATTTAATAACTAGATTTGTAATACTTGTTTGGAACAAGTATAGGTGGTGTTGATGACGATAACTCTAACACTTTACTAAAGTCCCACCGTTGACGTATAAAAGACTCAGTGACACCCTTTGTGCTGATACCAAACGATGAATGCGGTTCAACCTTTAATGAAATAAACAGAACACAGTCATAAGCATTGCGTAATATAAATGCCAATGAACATAGATAAGCTGATCAACTAATATTACATCCTTGCTGTATATAATATACACATTCACTCTCCTTCATGAAATATACATGAGCCTATACATATTCATGAGCTTGACCCTGCATTGACCCCTATAACCTGACCTACTTTCTGTCATAGTAGTATACCCCAAATCTGTCTACCCGGCCAATTGCCATTATAAGACACCAAATTAGCTAGATTATAATCACACAGAGTTTTCCTCAAATTCTTATTAAACCTGTTATAATACCAGGTCAGTCATCATATTTAACTCAACACTGTTTACTTTCACTAACAGCACCCTCGCATGTCTATTCATGCGCTACACAACATACACTGGCACAACGTGAGCTTCGTGCATTAACTCCAACTTTCTAACTCAGATTTAGCCCATTCATATTCCTCCATTTTCATATCTTACAGTTTCAACAAGAAAGAAAACATTTAATTTCAATAATCTTAGGTCGACTTCTACTTACAACATTGGGCTTGTGTGTAAACTGGCAAATAACGGTGAACTTCAGTACCAAACAACACGACTTGACAAACGTGTTTCAGCTCCTGAACCAAAACAACTTCGCCCTCAACGGCCCTGCTCAGAAATACGAATAAACTCTCGCTTCTGACGTCACAATGCCCATTGATGTAAATAATACAAAATATCTCTAAACTAGAGATAACATCCCGGCCCCTTAAATGCGAAGTTTTAAAAACTGAACATTTACCCTCTAAATCTAAATCAAAATTCACGACAATCATAAATGTCGTACTTTCCTTGAAATGATTTTACACCTTTAAATCCAGGATTTTAAATTCTAGCCTCAAAATGTTATAATTTGTCTGCAATATCCAATACTTCTTCTTACCGGTAATATAAAAACCCTTTACATAACTCTATTACTGACAAATAGCGTGGTTAAAGGGAATCTGTCTGATTCAACTACAAAAATGTCAAACTGTATGAAAATATGATTACTCATCAATACAACCTGAAATGATTTTTTACATAAACCGACAATTTCTTAGCTGAGCACCGTCAACATGAAACAATGACACTTCTATATAATCTGCATACTTGCATAGTCTCCTTGTGAAATATCTGATTCAATGCACACATAAAGTGCTCACTATCTGAATGTGCAACGTGACAATGCAAAAATAATTTATATCAAGACATCACTATTAAATGTCAAGAAATAATGAAAAGGCATTCAATCTCCAAATTCTCTCGCTATACTGTACTGTACTGCCAAAGGTGCTTTAAATATTGTAAATAATGTCAATTCCAATTAAACCCTTTGACTGACACACGCACAAAAGGCATCATTTATTTGGACAATTGCGAATCTTTGAGTGCTAAACTTTCCTTTATCATTGAATGCATTTTCACACATGGATGAATTCATGGAAATATGAAAGGATGTACACAAGCAAAATACAAAGTTTACAAGATGCTGAAGATAGTCTGCAAGTTCTGCGAGTTCAGATCAAAGTTTATCATAAAGGTCACAGGGTCTGAAAGTTCTGAGATTTCTAAATTATCTCTTCGCTGTGATAAATGTACACCATTCAGCTTCACAATGAAACGTTCTGAACTTGTATGACATTGTCTATCTGGTCAGCGATATATACGCAAAAGGCTAGACGATTGCAGGTGAAACGCGAAAATAACACATTGATCCAAGGTCAAATACGCGAAATTTTTCTGATCCCAGGTCAAATACGCGAAATTCTTCTGATCCAAGGTCAAATACGCGAACAAATATCCCTCATCCGGATTTGAACGTTGAACGACTATGAGAACTTAGTGAATGGTCACATTCGTAGTAGGAACTATTTCTCATTTCAAACAAATATGAGACTTCTTGCTTCACAAATATAATTTCGCGTAAAAAATATCCCTCATCCGGATTTGAACGTTGAACTATGAGAATTTAGTGAATGATCACATTCGTAGTAGAAACTATTTCTCATTTCAAAACAAATATAATACTTCTTGCTTCACAAATATAATTTTGCGTAATTTTCTGGTACTTTGGTATCACATGCTCCAGGCAATCTTGTGGTATTCATATCATCGAAAAATCAACAAACTTTCGCATTTGACTTAGACCTTACACTTGTGACTTTTCCACGGATTCAAGCAAGCACAATTTCTGAACAGGTCGCGTCAAGGCTCCTGTGACTGTTTTCACCTTTGCTGAACGAACCAGCTTATCCTTGCTTGGATAGATCTCGATGACTCTACCCAACATCCATTTGTTACGCGGCATGTCATCCATGATGAGGACTACGTCGTCCACAGCGATATTTCTATTTTCATCCAGCCACTTCTGACGCTGCTGCAATGTTGGCAGGTACTCTTTCATCCATCTCTTCCAGAACACGTCGGCCATATGTTGCACTTGTCTCCACCTTTTACGCGAGTAGAGGTCGCTCTGGTCAAACACACCTGGTGGTAGCTCAGCATTGGGCCTCATCAGTAGCAAGTGGTTTGCTGTCAGTGGTTCTGGATCCCTCATGTCTGTAGACACCACCGTGAGCGGCCGTCCGTTGATGATCGATTCTACCTTGCACATCAGCGTAGGTAGACCCTCATCGTCAAGTACTTGCAGCTTCATAACACCATTCATCACTTTTCTTGTTGTCCGTATCTGTCTTTCCCATGCACCTCCTGCATGAGATGCTGTTGGGGTGTTGAATCGCCAATCGATTCCCCTTTGGAGGAGATTCGCATGGATTTTCTGCTGATTCCACCGTTTTCCTCCTTCTCTCAGCTCACGCTCAGCACCTACGAAGTTGGTGCCATTGTCACATCTGATCAGCTCTGGCCTTCCTCTACGGGAGATGAATCTCTCCAAGGCGTTCAAAAATGAGTCTGTGTTCATGGTATGTAGGATCTCAATATGGACCGCTCGTATGACTAGGCACGTGAAAATACAGCCGTACCTCTTTAGCCGACTTCTACCCTGCTTTACAAAGAACGGCCCAAAACAATCAACTCCAACGTGGCTAAAGGGTGGTTTTCCTGGTGTCACCCTGTCTGCAGGTAGATCAGCCATTTTCTGTCCCACTGGAGCTGCTGCTTGACGTTTACATGTGAAACATTCATTCAGGACTTTACGGACTGTTGGTCTTCCTCTGACTATCCAGTATCGTTGCCTGATTAGAGATAGTACGTACTCCTTGCCTGAATGACCAGACAAAATGTGATAATGTCTCACTAATAGCTGTACAACATGATGATTATATGGCAGGATCATAGGGTGTTTTGCCTGTTCCTCTAACGGTGCATTTCTTAGACGTCCTCCGACATGCATTAGACCCTTGCCTGTGAATTTGACATTTAGCTTCGAGAGTGGACTGGACTTTGCGATGCGAGAGGGCGACGTTCCTCCTGCAGTCAAATTATGCTGTAACACCTTGTACTCTGCAGTGTAGCTCTGACGCTGAACGTACCGAATAACTGCTTCTTCAGCTACAGCAATATCACCTGTCCTAAGTGGCCCTTTGACATCACAGGTGTTCCCTTGAACCTTGCTCTGCAAATGCTGTCTCACTCGCAAGACCCATGCAACTGCTTTCTTTAATCTGTACCATGAGGAGTAGTGCTCTAGCAGCCGGTCCACAGCATTGGATTGATCTGCTTCAGTACTAAACACTTGAATACCCTTCTTCTGTTTAACTTCTGGGTCATTCTCATCAATGGGTGCAGTTGTAGTTGGGTCCTGTGGCCAACTACTCTCAGCTTGGCAAATGAACTCCGGTCCAACCAGCCACCTGATGTTAGTTTTCAAGTCTTCTGCCCCAATACCCCTTGACACATCATCTGCTGGATTGGAGCTAGTATCAACATGGTGCCACTGACTGGGTTCTGAGTGGTCTCGGATGACCGCTATCCTATTTGCGACGAAGGTGTTAAACCTTTTTTCTTCGTTTCTAATGTACTGCAGCACAATCGTGCTGTCAGTCCAGAATACTGACCGCACGATTGGTAGCTCTAATTCCCTTCTCAGCATTGAGTCCAGCTTTACTGAGAGAGTCGCTGCCATAAGCTCTAGTCGGGGAATGGTTACTCTCTTTATTGGTGTGAGATGCGACTTTGCAACTAGCAGGCTGCTATGTGCCAGGCCATCACCATTCTTCATTACTATGTATGATGCTGATCCATACGCCCTCTCCGATGCATCTGAGAAATGATGTAACTCATACTCAGTTACTTCTCCAAAGTCATGAGGCTTGATGCATCTATTCACCTTGAAATCTGCCATCTTGGGTAACTCATCAATCCACTCATCCCATTGGCGTCTTTCTGCGTCTGGAATCTTGTCGTCCCATCCAAGATTCATTCTCGTTAGTTCTTGCAGTATCATTTTTGCCTTCAAGACAAATGGGCTGGCATAGCCAAGAGGGTCGTACACTGAAGATATCACACTCAGCAGCCCACGTCGAGTTCGAGGCTTGTCTCTGGGGGTGAACTTGTACAGGAAGCTATCCATCTCTACATCCCAAGTAATGCCTAGGGCCCTTTCAACAGGAAGGGCATCATGAGTGAGGTCTAGCCCTTTAGCATTTTTCGATCGATCTTCTTTGGGTACAGACTCTAAGACCCTTGGTCTGTTGCTCAGCCACTTGGTCAAGTTGAAGCCTCCTTTCGTCAGGCCTTCTTTCAGGCTAGCTGCCAGTCTCACGGCATTCTCCTCGTTGTTCACCGAGACCAGACAATCATCAACATAGAAGCTTCTATGTATCGCTCTTCCTGCTTCTGGAGTGAAGGCATCTGGATGGTCTGCAGCTGTTTGATGGAGGGCAAAGTTACAACAACTTGGGCTCCATGTACCGCCAAAGAGATGAACACACATTCGGTACATTTTGGGCTGTCTCTCCAAGTCACCTCCTGGCCACCACAGGAATCTCATGACGTCTCTCTCAGTTAGGGGGACTCTCACTTGATGAAACATTCCCTCAATGTCCGCCATGAGTGCCACTGGTTGCTGACGGAATCGAACAAGTACTCCTAGCAGGTTATTAGTAAGGTCCGGCCCCTGTAGCACTACGTCATTCAGAGACACTCCTTGGCACTTAGAGGCACAATCAAAGACAATTCTAACCTTGTCCGGCTTCTTGTCTGTCATCACTGGATGGTGAGGAAGGTACCAGACATTACCACTGTCAGGCTTACAATCTTGAGGGACTTCTTCCGCATACTTCTTATCGAGAAGTTGGGTCATGACATCAGCATATTTGGCGTGCAGTTTCCCATCTCTCACCAATCTCCTCTTAAGAGACTGTAGCCTTTGCTCTGCTAAGTGACGGTTATTAGGAAGGCAGGACTTTCTCTCCCTGAAAGGTATGGACAGCTGGTAGTGCCCATCTACCTCCTGTATGGAGTCTCTCCATACTTGTAATGCTCTCTTGTCCTCCACCGACATGCCCTTCGAGTTATCAGCTAGATGCTCCATGCCTTCCATCTTCCAGAACTTGGTTACCTGTTCATCCAATACCATATCTTGAGCAATGAAATGGGATGATGGTTGATTGCTTGGATGCTGCTGCTGATTTACTGGCCCATTCAGAGTCCATCCCAACACTGTGCGTACGGCATACACTTCCCTTGGTGGACCGAATCTAACTTCTAATGGCTGTAAGGCCTCTGGAGTATCCTGTCCTATTAAGAGCTCAACCTCATGACTTGTAGTGGGAAATTCCAAATCCTTAAGATGTTCCCAATTCTGCACATCTGTGGTGGTAGCAACATTGTTGCTGCTAACATTGATCTCCTTCTTTGTATATACGCATGGCAGCTCTAATTCTTCATGGGTGGAAGGATTCCTGATCTTGAGGCCAACTGCCTTACATTCTATGAAGCTACTTGACTTTTCCAACGTTGAAATTGATAAGATCTTCCTTTTTCCCTTGGCACCAAGTTTTTCAGCTAGTTTCTCTGTGCAGAAAGAACTTGTTGATCCAGAGTCCAATAATGCAAAGGTATGAACTGTCAAAGATCCATCAACAGCTCTGACCTCTACCGGAACAATAGGTAGAGCAATCTTGACGTTTGTGGCAGCACTGGTGCTCTCTGCAAAGGAGGTCTGCACATCTACCGGTGGCTCCGCTGTATCGGAGTCTTTCTGTACCACTCTTTCAGTTGGGAAATGAAGGAACCTGGTGTGTTTTCTATTACATCCCTTCACGGAACAAGTCCGATTTAGAAAGCACTTGTGGCTTTGGTGGCCTGCCTTCAGGCAATTGTAACACAGACGGTAATCTCTTGCTAGCTTGAAACGTTCTTCTACTTTAAGTTCTTTAAATTGATTGCAGGAAAAGAGATCATGTTCTTCACTGCAAACTACGCATTGCTTTACTTCCTCGTCATTTTGGCCAACGTTAATTCCATGAGAGGAAAAAGATCTCCCTCCCCGGGACACTGCCCCTTTAGATCCTTGAGCTTCCTTCTTTCGGTCATCGAATAACCCTCCAAACACTGGGTCATTGACTTCTTCGGCAGCTTCGAGGACCAACTGCACCAAGTCAGACAAATCGGGTGATCTTCCTCGGTGTCGGATGCCCTTCACCATCTTCAACCATCTGCTCCTCAGGAAATATGGGAGCCTCTCCACCATCTTTACCAGTTCACGTTGACCCCCGATCTCCTGCATGAGATCGAGTGCACTGAGGGTCTCCTCACAGATTTTCAACTCATCTGCATAGCTCTGTAATCCCTTGATGTCGTTAGGTCTTATAGCAGGTCCATTTACAACCTTGGAGATCCATGCTTCTCCAATCTTGAACTTACTACCATAGCGTTCAGATAGTAGTTTTCTTGCCCTTCTATATCCTAAAGAGGGTTCCACCATCAAGCAGCTCTTGATGATGGTCTTGACCTGATCTGTACAACACTGGAACAGCTTCATGAGCTTTGTCCCTTCCTGAAGTGAGGACCCTCCGATCAAGTTGTCGAAAGATGTTACAAACTCATGGTAGTGAAGAGGATTGCCATCAAACTTCATAACCTCTGCACTCGACAAACTTATGGCCTCTAACAGACGCTGCTGTTGAACTTGAATCTCTAACTGATTGTTCATGTGGAGACTGGTATTGGAAAGAGACTTTGTCTGAGCCGAATCCTCATGAACCGGGTAGGCGATTGTTGAATCCAGATCCTTCGGCCCATGGATCGTAGGTGGGTTCACACGCTGCTGTGTGTGAGATAACATCTGACCTTCATTTCCAGCAGGTTTGGATGCATTCAGATCTGACTGGATGGGAGAAGGAATGTTGTCCTTCAGTTCTTGACCTATAGAGGGGGCCTCTCCTTGAACTTGATGGCCGGCTTTATGCTGGCTGACGCTAGTAATAACACTTCCTTTGTTATGACGACTTACATGTGAAGAACTCTCCTCTTCATAAAGACTGCTGTAAACATACTCTTCAGCCTTGGCGATATCCAGCTTGGTCTGTAGCTCCATCTGGATTTTCTTCTGTTTCAGCTTGAGCATCTCGATATCCAACTCTTGCTGTCGACGTAAACCTTCAGCCTCCGCCGTCAATGCTGCACTTCTTGCCATGGCCTTGGCACGTAAACGAGAGCTGGAACTAGAAGATGCACTGCCTGCAGACTTAACGATGCTTCCACACTGACTGACCGAGTCTTCTGGATTGACATCGGGCAAAGTCTTGGGCTCTACAACACTCATCTTGAAAGGGCGACGCGTTCAATCCAAAGGACCCTTGTTGTTGAACTGTTGATGACGATAACTCTAACACTTTACTAAAGTCCCACCGTTGACGTATAAAAGACTCAGTGACACCCTTTGTGCTGATACCAAACGATGAATGCGGTTCAACCTTTAATGAAATAAACAGAACACAGTCATAAGCATTGCGTAATATAAATGCCAATGAACATAGATAAGCTGATCAACTAATATTACATCCTTGCTGTATATAATATACACATTCACTCTCCTTCATGAAATATACATGAGCCTATACATATTCATGAGCTTGACCCTGCATTGACCCCTATAACCTGACCTACTTTCTGTCATAGTAGTATACCCCAAATCTGTCTACCCGGCCAATTGCCATTATAAGACACCAAATTAGCTAGATTATAATCACACAGAGTTTTCCTCAAATTCTTATTAAACCTGTTATAATACCAGGTCAGTCATCATATTTAACTCAACACTGTTTACTTTCACTAACAGCACCCTCGCATGTCTATTCATGCGCTACACAACATACACTGGCACAACGTGAGCTTCGTGCATTAACTCCAACTTTCTAACTCAGATTTAGCCCATTCATATTCCTCCATTTTCATATCTTACAGTTTCAACAAGAAAGAAAACATTTAATTTCAATAATCTTAGGTCGACTTCTACTTACAACATTGGGCTTGTGTGTAAACTGGCAAATAACGGTGAACTTCAGTACCAAACAACACGACTTGACAAACGTGTTTCAGCTCCTGAACCAAAACAACTTCGCCCTCAACGGCCCTGCTCAGAAATACGAATAAACTCTCGCTTCTGACGTCACAATGCCCATTGATGTAAATAATACAAAATATCTCTAAACTAGAGATAACAGGTGGGCTGATCCAACAAAAAATTGAGACAAAATAAAGGGTACATTTGAGATAGCTTTTTGTCTCATCTACAACATACTCGAAGTTCAGCGTAAACGAAGCTAAAACGACGTAGATATTGCTCGCGAAAGACGGGAATGTAGAATAGAGTTTTGAGAAAAAGTCATATCCCATAGAGAATACACGCAAAATGTAAAAAATTTACATGCCTCCTTTAATCGCAAAAATACGCCATGCCTTTGTCAAAATGAAAAATAATAGCAATTGCCTTTGTAGAGAATTGTCTCAGCTAGAACATATCAAAATGTGGAAGAAAATCAATCAATATTTACAGAGATACAATCAATTTTCCATAAATATGCTGACGTCATAATATGCAAATTGGAATTTTGAGTTCGGAGGCCATTGTGATGACGTCATGAGTTAATTGAGGGTCGAATGAGACATGAAACAATATCTCCGAATCATACTCTATTAAAATATGAAAACAAATTGGGGTCACCTTGCATCCTAAAGAGCTACAATGGATTTTGTATAGGCATGTTTTTGCCCATATTTGCTATGTATTACAAGAGCTCGCGCGCACGGAAATTTTTGTTAAACGGTCGATCAATCCGTTATTAATAGTCATAAAGAGACAAACGTGGTATCAATTTGTTTGTAAATATATGTGGTATATTATGAAAGAAAAAAAAAAGCAATTCAATGTTGTGCAAAAGTTTTACGCGCGAAAACGCGCGCGCATGCTCGTACGCGCGATTTTTTATAAAATGCTTAGAATGGCCTAAAACGTATGCAAAATGATTTTCAGACGATTTTGAGCATTTCAAAATTTTGCGCGCGCATTGACGCGCGGACGTACGCGCAGGCGCGCGTTATTTGACCTTTTATTGACCGGACGGATATTGACCTTGATCATGATAAATATGAACGAGAAATACCTTTTGGTTATGAAGATATGATCATGAGTTGATTTTCGTAAAATTTTACAAAATGGCGCCTAGATGACGTCATCAGTGAAGGTCAATGTTGAAAACGTTATTGTGCTTTGTACATATGTCTATACATATGTGTGCCAAATTTCTAGGCATTTGATTGAGCCATTTCCAAGTTATCTTGTTCACAAAAAAGTGGTTAGAAATAAGAAAAATATATAATAACTAGATTTGTAATACTTGTTTAGTACAAGTATAGGTGGGCTGGTCCAGCTAACATTTTAGACAAAATGAAGGGCACATTTGAGATAGCTAATTGTCTCAGCTACATCATACTCGAAGTTCAGCGTAAATGAAGCTAAAATGACGTAGATGTTGCCCGCGAAAGACGGGAATGTAGAATCGAGTTTTGAGAAAAAGTCATGTCCCATAGAGAATACACGCAAAATGTGAAAAATTGACATGCCTCCTTTAATCGCAAAAATACGCCATGATACCTTTGTCAAAATGAAGAATAGTACTGACTGCATTTGTAGAAATTTGTCTCAGCTAGAACATATTAAAATTTGGAAGAAAATTGATCAATATTTACAGAGATACAATCAATTTTCCACAAATATGCTGACGTCATAATATGCAAATTGGAATTTTGAGTTCGGAGGCCATTATGATGACGTCATGAGTTAATTGAGGGTCAAATGAGACATGAAACAATATTTCCGAATCATACTCTTTTAAAATATAAAAACAAATTGGGGTCACCTTGCATCCTAAAGAGCTACAATGGATTTTGTATAGGCGTGTTTTTGCCCATATATGCTATGTATTACAAGAGCTCGCGCGCATGGAGATTTATGTTAAACGGTCGATCATTCCGTTATTAATAGTCATAAAGAGACAAACATGGTATCAATATGTTTGTAAATATATGTGGTATATTATGAAAGAAAAAAAAAAGGCAATTCAATGTTGTGCAAAAGTTTTACGCGCGAAAACGCGCGCGCATGCTCGTACGCGCGATTTTTTATAAAATGCTTAGAATGGCCTAAAACGTATGCAAAATGATTTTCAGACGATTTTGAGCATTTCAAAATTTTGCGCGCGCATTGACGCGCGGACGTACGCGCTCGCGCGCGTTATTTGACCTTTTATTGACCGGACGGATATTGACCTTGATCATGATAAATATGAACGAGAAATACCTTTTGGTTATGAAGATATGATCATGAGTTGATTTTCGTAAAATTTTACAAAATGGCGCCTAGATGACGTCATCAGTGAAGGTCAATGTTGAAAACGTTATTGTGCTTTGTACATATGTCTATACATATGTGTGCCAAATTTCTAGGCATTTGATTGAGCCATTTCCAAGTTATCTTGTTCACAAAAAAGTGGTTAGAAATAAGAAAAATATATAAATAAAGGCAATTCTAACGAAATTATAAGGTGGTCTGTACGTTATACAGCCCACCTGATAATAACTAGACTTTAATTCGTCACTTAGACGAATTAGGTGATACGTATGATAATGGTCTCCATAACGAATAATGCATTACACGATATATCATTTTGTAAAATGCTTCTCCCATTCATATGCTTCTCCCATTATGATCTATTCATATGTCAAGATTAAATTGTGTCTCCTTGATCATCATGGATCTAGGGAAGATAGATTGAAACAATATATGACCTTTGACCCTGTGCAGTAACCAGTTACACATTTGACTCTAATTTATATCATGAAGAACACATTTTGACGATTTTATCTTATTCAAAGAAATGAAAATGTAATTGATAAATGATTATCATCATTATGATAATGATGATCATGATGATCATGATCATGATCATGAGCGCGATCATGACATCTTATTGAAAAAATGAGGGTTGATTTAGATAGCATATAGTCTCAGCTACAAGATACTCAAAAATCAACAAAATCCAAGCCGAAATAACGGCGATATTGCTCGCAAAAGACAGGAATGTAGACTCCAGATTTTAGAAAAAGTCATCTCCCATAGGGATTACACGCAAAAAGTAATGGATTAAGTGAAAATAGGGTAATAATAAAGTAAAAAGGGTTATTTATGACATTATTTGCGAATCTACGTGTTTAAATATTCAAAGGAGATGGTACAGTGAAGGTCAAAAGGAAAAAAAAGTGAAAAAAAAAAAGTGTTGGAGACACCCGGACTCGAACCAGGGATCTCGAGGTTGGAAGTCAAGTGCGTTACCGATATACCAAAACATCTCCCATAGCGATTACACGTAAACGGGAAATGGAATTCAGAAATCCTACTTTGCAAGTGAAATATGAGCATGATCCCGGCATCTAATCGAAAAATAAAAGGCACACTTTTGATTGCTCATTGTCTCAGCTACAACATATCCGAAGCTCAGTGAAAACAAAGCTAAAACAACGGAGATTTTGCTCGTGAAAGACAGGAGTGTAGAATCCAGTTTTGAGAAAAAGTCATGTCCCATAGAGAATACACGCAAAATGCGAAAAATTGACATGCCTCCTTTAATCGCAAAAATACACCATGATACTTTTGTCAAAAATAAAAATTGTGAATACTACATTTGTAGAAAATTGTCTCAGCTAGAACATATTTAAAATTAAAAAGAAAATTGATCTATATTTACAGAGATACAATCCATTTTCCAAAAATATGCTGACGTCATAATATGCAAATTGAAATTTTGAGTTTGGAGGCCATTATGATGACGTCATGAGTTAATTGAGGATAAAATGAGACATGAAATCATATTTCCGACTCATAATCTATCCAAATATGAAAAAATATTAGGAGTTTCTATCTATTCTAAAGAGTTACAATGAATTTTATATAGGCATGTTTTTGCCCATGTATTGTGGATAAAGATAACGCAAATCCGCGCGTGCTGTCAACTTTGACGGACGCTCATTGCGTTAATAAAAGGTGAACAACTTATCAAAATGCTTGGAAAAATGTACCGAATATGATGACTGAAAAAAATCGGCGATTCTAAGTTGCAAAATGCCAGTACGCGCGAAAACGCGCGCGCATGCGCGTGTGCGTAATTTTTTTATCAAATGCTCCATATGGCCTGAAACGTATGCAAAAAAATTTTGGGATGATTTAGAGCATTTTTAATTTTTGCGCGCGCGTAAACGCGCGGACGAGCGCGCACGCGCGCATTTACGCACATTTATTGACCTGAAATTGACCGGACGGATATTGATCTAAATCGTGATAAATATGAATGAGAAATTACTATTCGTTATGAAGATATGATCATTAGTTGATTTTCACAAAATGGCGCCTGGATGACGTCACGATGACTTTGAGTCTTTGAAAATTCACGCAGTTCTAAGTTAGACTAAGATCTATCATCATTAAAAGATTCATGACAATGGCTTCATTCAGTCTTGAGATATCTTGCGAACAAATTCGAGGAAGAATAATAATAAATAAACTAGACTTTAATTCGTCACTTAGACGAATTAGGTGATACGTATGATAATGGTTTACATAACGAATAAGGCATTACACGATATATTATTTTGTAAAATGCTTCTCCCATTTATATGCTTCTCCCATTATGATCTATTCATATGTCAAAAGTAAATTGTGTCTCCTTGATCATCATGGATCTAGGGAAGATAGATTGAAACAATATATGACCTTTGACCCTGTGCAGTAACCAGGTACACATTTGACTCTAATTTACATCATGAAGAACACCTTTTGACGATTTTATCTTATTCAAAGAAATGAAAATGTAATTGATAAATGATAATGAAGATGATCATGATCATGAGCGTGATCCTGATATCTTATTGAAAAAATGAGGGGTGATTTAGATAGCATATAGTCTCAGCTACATTATCCTCAAATATCAACAAAATCCAAGCAGGAATAACGGCGATATTGCTCGCAAAAGACAGAAATGTAGAATCCAGATTTGAGGAAAAGTCATCTCCCATAGGGATTAGACACAAAGAGTAATCGTTTAAGTGAAAATAGGGTAATAATAAAGCAAATAGTTTATTCGCAGATGTACGTGTTTTAATAAT